TATCTCAAAACCAGCAGAGTCTCAGGATTTGCACCACTTAAGATAACATCAAAGTTTGCCCAAAGTACAAGGGATGGGAAAGACTTAAACAGAGAAAGGGGAATAGTGCAGATTTCAGATACAGCTCTAATGCAGCTTCATTAGAGTTACAGGCTTTATTTGGGAAGTAGTGTATGAGGATTAGTAGGACAGTGCATTCTGTGAGGCCTGTCTAAAATATGAACAAAACATACTTGCTTTTATCATAACTGTCATCTACTTTCATCTGATCATCTGTGTCCAATGCCCTGTTATGTTTGTAGTATTGAATACCAAATATGACCATGGTGCTATTGCACGCTACAGCTCCAGCCTTACTGGATCTGGGTGTGCCCAAGCACTTCCATCAGACTCAGCCTTCTTCAGCTGATTTACAGCTTGAAATTAAATTAAACACTTAAGATAAAATGAGCAGTTTGATGAAGAGTATATTAGTCACAGACATCTAGTGCTGGAAAGTATCTCAAGAGATCAGCTATGTCTCATCACAGATACGTTTGTTTAACTTCTTCATATAAACCAGTTAGGACAAAGGCAGTTACACAACCTGCCAATGTAGCTTGTTGCAGAGCTTCATTACCTTGTCTGTTCAAAAGTTTGGGTTGTTTTTATTTCTGTCCCAAATTACTGGTGCTGCAAGTTTAAGAGTTCAGTTTAAGCTGTGCAGCTTTAAAAGTGAGATGTTGCTATCAGAGCCTGAAGAACCATTACTGATTAAGTGCTTGCTTCTTAAGTAGCTCTTAAAGACTTCTGCAGTAGATGTATTTGTAAGAAAGATGAATAATCCTTTTTACTAGTACATGTTCATAAATACTGCATAGTAATAAAAATATTGGATACAGTTCCTTTTTCCTGAACTAATTGTATGCCATTAGTTTAGGGCAGTTGGCAGAGATAGAGATACTTAAGTTGGCTTCAGTCACTCTAACTCCAGAGTTTCAAACCCTGGCAAGTGTGATGCAGAGGCGCTTGGCCAAGAAGCCAGGCTGATGAACCTGTGACGCCTCCCTTGCTAGTATGGGGTGTTTGCATGCTGTACTTCTCTGCAGGCTTGCTGGCTCAGAGCTCTGCAGTGTGCTCCACTCTCTGACACTTATAAATTGCACTTCTCTTAACACATACTGCTACTACATCTCCTGCAGCACAGAAACAACTGGTCAGAATTGTCCTTCTTCAGCAGCTGGTCATCAGCCCTTCAGGGTGAGACTTCTGGCTGGCCAAGAAAAATGAAAGACTCCTTTTATCCTCTTCCACAGCTACCAGTGTATTAATTGAAGTTAGTGCAAAGGGTTAAAGCAGCAAGTTAACTGTTAAGTTATTCTCGATGTACTAAATACCAACTCAGGGCATTTAGCTCAGAGACCATTAATACTATTTCTCTTGCTTTTTGTCTCAAGCTCTGCTACGTTATGCCATCATCCAGTGCGAGATGTGCTCAGTTTCCCCGTGCACAAGATAAAGTTCATTATTACATAAAGCTGAAAGACTTGAGGGATCAACTGAAAGGCATTGCACCAAACACAGAGGTGCAGGAGGTGCGGTACACCTTTGACTTGCAACTTGCACAAGGTATAGTGCATATTTTGTTAATCTTTTATTGGATTAACAGCAGTTTCCCAAGCAGAAAGAAATTAAGAATTTAAGAAGAGGGGGGAGATGTGCTACGTTCTCTAAAGCATGCAGTGTAGAATTACGGTTTCCACTGTCTTTTTAATGCAGCCTTAATTATCTGGGGAGGAGCAGGGATTATCATGTAGAATGTGTGGGTGTTTTGTCAAGTATTCTCTGCTAAAAATGCTCTTTGATCATTTTTACTCTGCATATTAATACTTGAGGTCTTCTCTTTTGGCAGAGGATGCTAAAAAGATGGCTGTCAAAGAAGAGAAATACGATCCAGGTTATGAAGCAGCGTATGGAGGAGCTTACTGCGACCGTGCGCCCTATGAAAGTGAACAGTGCACTTTCTCTTCAAATGGAACTGGTAAAGTGAAGAACTTGGGGCATTCAGTCTCTAAACCCTTTCTCATGAATAAATACTTCGTGCCATCAATTGCATTTTACAAACTGTGTTTTCCTGTTTGTGTTTGGTTTGGCTGCAGGTAATCCACAGTACTGTGAGGGACCATCCTTTGGTGAAGTTCCTAATGGACAATGGATGACACAGTCCTTTGCAGACCAGATTCCACAGTTCAATGCTGGTGTGACACAGGAAGAAGAGGGAAGCAACATGTAAGAGCTGTGTCTTCTCAGCTATGCATACCTGCTGCAGTTTTAATGCAGTGCTCAAGATTGGTACCTCGGTTCTCCAACTGAAGCATTTGAATAGGATTTTATCTCCCCTAGTTATTTTATTCTAGTCCCCAAGTATGTGTGTGGTAGCTCCAATCAATGAACTAGAGAATTTTAAGGAACTGTCCAAGCTTTTTAAAAAGTTAGCCCTTTTTTGTATATGAGTTTTATATTTAATGTATCCCATTTATTGCAGGGTTTGTCATTTGTGAAGATTTCTTTGGGGCGTTAATTTCATTCCATGAATCATAACGTAGTTGTAACAACAGCAGTATACTGATGCCTCAATATTGGGATCTCTCATAATCCTTTTCTATCCTGAGAGGAAAATAGGAAGTGTACTCTTATCTTACATGAAATGGTGGTTTTAATCATGCACAGTTAAGCAACCTGTGCTTTTTTAAGTCTGACTTTTACCTTCTTAGTGCAGAAAGTTGTATTCTGCAGTATATTTTCTGGGTGGGAAGAGAGCGCTCTGTCTATTCAGGATTAACGTGAGTGGAGACATCATCTCAAGTCACAGCACTTTGGAGGGGAATTTGTGTTGCACAGGACAGGGCCTAAATATTGTATCTAAGCTGTCTTTAGGGTAAGGTTTCCCTGGCACTCCATCTCTTCCCCCATTAAATTCCAATGTAAGGAACTGGAATTCCTTTAAAAAAATGAATTCTTGAATTCATTGTTTTTGAATTCTGTGGCATTTAACTCTCAGTGATATCTGTGGGATTAGTCTCTTCAGCTGGCTTTTAGCAAGAGACAGTCCCTTTGCACAGATTTCATTGCAGGGAAGTGAAAAATCAGGCTCCCTGTAAAAATCACTTAAAGCTGCATCATTTACATCAGATACAGTTAGTACAGGGTGAAAGAGGTTTGCACTTTAGTGGGTTTTAACATCTGGTTCTCTTCAGTCTGTAAGACCTTAGGAAGAAGGGTGTTGTCATTATTCCTTGAATTAAATCTAAGGGCAGGTGTTCCATGAACGAGAAGCCATCTGTAGAAACTCCAGCTTTCTTCTCGGGAACTTGCTTAAACAATACACCTTTTTGGCCAATGTTAATGACTGAGAGAGAAATGAAACTCTATGCTTGTGCCTAACCATCATATTCTTTCCCTCTTTTACCATGTGAGGAAGAAATGAAGTGAAAGCAATAAGCTGATCAAAACACTGAAGTTTTGATGGTCTTATGACAATAGGTGCTTCACATACTTGAAAAACAGATACAAACAGTATCTCCACAGTCCACGCTGGTCAGAGATTCGTGAACTGGTGTCTTCTGTCCTTTCCTCACAGCCAGTGACAGTTGTCATGCATCAAGCATAACGAGTTAGCGTAGATTCTAAACCTGCTGTAAGAGCTCTCACTGAGATCACACACTGTCAGCCTGTCGTGAGGCAGGCGCAATGTTTACAGTTTCTTCCCAAATGATGTGGCTTAATTCTGAGTGTCTTAAATCAAGCAAGTGTGCATTATGATTCTGATTGTGTTTATTAACCTCAGCAGAAAGCTGTCCAGTATATTGTCAAAAAGGTATGGAGCTTGTCTTGTCTGTTATTTAAAGTGTACTGTATCACGTATTGCTGTTTACATGGACATTTTCCTACAGGTGCTCAAAGTATCTTACATCAGGGATTTGTTACAATTCAGTTTTATTTTTCAACAAAATTAGGAGCATGTAATTAGCACTTCTGAGTATGCAGCACAGTAGGGTAACACTACTGTAAGGCTATCCTGTTTGATTGGAAGGGAAAGGCCTTCTCTTTAATGGAGTCGGCTACTAGGTTATCTAGGTATAGAATTCAGTGTTCAATGACCGTTCCACTAAGTATTGCAATTCTGTGTGTACTCCCTCAGAAATGGTGCTCTTTTCCTTACAGTAATACAGAAGTTCTTAAACCTGTCTTAAAACTATCAAAAGTTTCACAATAAAATCATGAATTGTATTGCAGTGTCTCAGAACATGCTTTTGTATCTTGCTAGCAGGGGTCTGCATGGGCTGCAGGGTGCATAACACATGGAAACCCTGAGAGTCACCACGCAACAGAACTCTGCTCACTAAACTGGTGTGTGTGTTCTCATTTTGGGCTGTTTAATGTGGGCCAGACAAGTAAAAATACCTTGTATGGCTCTGGTGAGGCCACACCTCCAATACTGTATTCAGTTGTGGGCCCCTCACTACAAGACAAACATTGAGGTGCTGGAGCAGGTCCAGAGAAGGGCAATGAAGCTGCTGAGGTGTCTGGAGCAGAAGTCTGTTGAGCTGCTGAGGGAACTGGGGGGGTTTAGTCTGGAGAAGGCTCAGGAGGGACACCTAATTGCTCTCTACAGCCATCTGAAGGAGGTTGTCATGTGGTGGGTTCAGTCTCTTCTCCCAGGTACGAAGTGATAGGACAAGAGGAAACGGCCTCATATTGCACCAGGGGAGGTTTAGACTGGATATTAGGAACAATTTATTCACAGAGAGGGTGACTGGCATTGGAACAGGCTTCCCAGGGCAGTGGTGGAATCACCATCCCTGGAAGTGTTCGAAAACTGTGCAGATGAGGCCCTCAGTGACATGGTTTAGCGGTGGCCTTGGCAGTCTTGGGATAACGTTTGGGGCTGATAATCTTAAAGGTCTTTTCTGTGTTTCTACCATCAGACTTTACATTAAACCACACTGCTTGGCACTGAATTTCACCTATGTAAACATTTAATAAGAATACATCATTGTGGAGTAAACTTGTTTCCTCACCTTACATGAAAGTCTGTCATTCCAGCCATAAGCACACAAAACTGATGGTCACTCACCTAGTTAACAGACCCTTAGCTTTCTAAAAAATCAGTGAATTACACAATATCTTGCATCTCAAACTATTATGTACTGCAAACCATGGCCTCTGGGTGCGGTGCAGTGGTTTCCGTATCAGCTATCAGGCCGAATTAATTTGAACTTTCCTGATGGGTCAGGAATAAACCAGTTTTCCCAGAGATCAGTGTGAACACTGGGATAATCCCAAGGTTTGTATCTCCCATTCCAATGAAGTAATTTCGCTTCTTGAAGAAAATGCTCTGAGTAATGGGCATCAGGGCTCCACCCTGCATGAGTAGATTAAAAAAAAAAACAAAAAGAAGCTAAAAATTCCCAGTTTTCATACTGAAGGCCTTATAGAGTGAGATATACTCAGTGAGGGTTTTAAGTCTTATTAGTGTGGTTCCACCTGTTAATAGACAACTGGTTGTAAGACAGTAGCTTTTTTCAGCTTCATGCCTCTAATGCTCCAGCAGCAAAAATCTCAGCAGGTTTCCTCCCTCTTAACATTTTAAGATCTTGGCATAGCTGGGGTTAAACACTATTCATTTTACTATAGCAGCTGAGCCATTATCTTATGACAGGATAACTCACCATTGCGAGGCAAAAGGTAAATACATTCTCAAAATGTTGAGGAGACAAACACTGCTAGGCATCCCACCATCTCCCACCACACCTTCTAAGAGAGTGTCTGCTTGTTTTTCAGTCTCTCACTTTATTCAGCTCTCATACATTCTTCCCATACTTTATGACAATACAAGTTAGCTGGTCTTCAAACATGTAACTTTGTCCTTGGTATTTGTTTCTTTTTTTTCCAATCCAACTCAATGACTATTAGGGATCTGAGGTATGAAGTGATGCACTGAGGTAAAGTAACATAAGGTCCTGTGCTGGAAGCTTACAGACCACTCACTTTATTTAGTTCCAACTGCAAACAGTAGGAAGTTAAACTTACCAAGATGCCTTATGTGCCACATAGGATTAATAGTGGAATACTTTCCATGAAACACAATCAGCATTGGAGAGGTTGCCACACCTCCCCCAAGGGTGCTGCTGTAAAGGTTTTCCCTGCAAAAGGGGGAGAAGGGAGGGAGGAAATAAAATATTTATAATTTCAAACACAGGTACAAAAGGCAGAAGATTAAAAATAAGCACCCTGTCAAAATTCAGACTCATTTTGAACAGACTGATTTTCAGCATACTCCTTCCTACTGCTCTCAATTGCTTGTCTTTGCAACTCCAAGTCCTGTTGAGTAACTCATTGCTACTAGGCAAAATAGGAGTCAGACCCATCTGAAGCCAATCACTTCTACACACTGCTGACAGTCTACTCAGCTGACAAAGCTTACAGAAGAAAAAAAGCTGTTAACATAAAGGAATTAAACATAATTTAGACTTGTTTCTTAATGTACATGTTTCCATGTGTTTCATTCCCTCTCTTCCCCTCTCTTAAGCTTTTAGACCCATAAATCAGCTTCCGATTTTGCCAAAGTCCAATTACATTTTTCAGCCTGGAGAAAGCTCTGGGAAGATCTTAGAGCAGCATTCCAGTATCTGAAGGGGTCTACAGGAAATCTGGAGAGGGACTTTTTACAAGGGCATGTAGTGATAGGACAATGTGGGGGTGGCTTTAAACTGAAAGAGGACAGAGATTAGATGTAAGGAAGAAATTCTTCACTGTGAGGGTGCTGAGGCTCTGGCACAGGTTGCCCACAGAAGTTGTGGCTGCCCCATCTCTGGCAGTGTTCAAGGCCAGGTTGAAGGGGGCTTGGAGCAACCTGGTCTAGTGGAAGGTGTCCCTGCCCATGGCAGGTGATTGGAAGTGGATGAGCTTTAAGGTCCAACCCAAACCATTCTATGACTTCTATAAACAAACAGCTGAAGGTCATCCATTCCCTATGAATCCTGTGATATATCCAGAGCTAGGTTAGCATAATCACTGTAAGGTGAGGCAGCAGTGTGCTGAAGGCCTGGCTGGCACATGATTGAAGCCACTCACCTCTGGGGCTCCGTGCCCACCACCCAGCCCCATGAGGAGGAAACGTGGGAAGCACCGAGAGATGTGTACAGAGAAGAAAAAAAAAAGATGTGAACCTCCCCTTCAAATTTGGGTTTTGACTGCCAAGCAGTTTATTGCACTGTCATTTCAAAATCCAGCTAAAAATAACATGAATGTGTTACTAAGGTATAAAAATCAACTTCATAGAGAAAATTTGCAGCAATATTCAGGGAGGTTTTTTCCTCTTAAACACTCTTAAAAAGCACCGCAAGAGCTTGTCAAAATATGTTACACAAGCAGAGTAAGAGAAAGAATTTTGGCTTTTTCATTCCTGCACATGCTTACCATTTATGTGTCTCCTCTGCTCATTTCTGAAACTAACAAGTAACAGTCCAAGGGCACAAGCTATTTAGTTTCAGTTCAGCCTTACTACATTTAAATTTAACTCCTTGTGAAGAAAATAAATGTCAAGTTTGCAAGTCCAGGTCACCAGTGAACTAACAAGAAATAAAAAGTAATTGTTTCATTGTGTCATGACTTACTCATGGTCAATTTTTGTTCATGTATAGAAAAAAATAGTGGTTTCTATTAATACTTAAGAAATACAGTGTCCAGTCACAGTCTCGCTGATGTTACAATATAAGAGACCCCACAAAAACAAAAGGGAAATATTCCTCCTTCTTTAAACAAATCTCAGAAAGAGACGATCCTAGGTGGTTTCATCTCCAGTGCGGTTGGTCACCCAAAATGAGAACCACATGTTCTCAATGTCCCTAGAGATTAAGCATGGTTTGTGATTAAAGACTAAAATTCCAGGTGGCCATTTCCTTTTACACAACTGGTCAGACTGAAGCAGCCAAATTCTGGAATGCGAGTTACTCTGCTTGATGAGATCTCAAAGAAAGACTGCTATAAAACTTTTAAGAGATTTTAAACAGAAAATTAAACTGCAAACTGAGTATCAAAAGTGCAAAGCTAGATTTCTACACGTACTCTACATTTCTTTGCATCCACTTCTCCAATTGCTTTGTAATCCGTTGATGTTTCCATTCGGTCATGTTAGCAACAATTACTCCAGGATTAAAGGAGCAGGTGCTGGGACTGATGCCAAGATCTCTAATCGCTTGCTTTCTGTAGTCCAGGAATCCCATGTATGTGTTCTAAGAAATAAAAAAAAGTATGTTTATCCCATATGAATCTCTATAAAGATAAGCTTAAACGCATCTCTAGCTCTCACATGGAGACTAAATATGCCCTAACAGAGCTGAGTTTCCAGAAGGTGGTTACTTGTCTTCATTTCCACATCACACAAGGCTGAAAGGCAGGATACTTCCAGCTACTGAATTAGTTTCTCCACAGCATTATTCCATGGGAGTTCTTCTCTCACCATACATTTGTCTTTCTGCAGCTTATTCTGAATGATGTAATATCACACTTGTACTGCTGTAATGCCAGGGACATAATGCCACTTTGACAATTCTAGGGAACTCAGCTCAGCAATTAGCCTGTAAACTCGTCTTCCCAAGTCTCATTCCCAATTCAACTAATAGAAATACCATCTATTCTGCCTTCTTTAGTTGTTCCGTAAGTGCTCGTGATCTACTGACGGCAAAATAGCGAACATAATTTTGTAGAATCTAAAGAACAATAGATACTGAAATTATTCCAGGAAACAACTGCAGAGCATTACAGAGTTACTGCAATAATTGTAAAACTACTACAAAACTACCAAAAAAATACATAACTTTCACTTTGTGGAAAATATATCAAATCACCTTACATTTGTAGGCCAATATATTCACCCTTAGAATTCCAAATTGGCACCTTACCTGCATCCCTACACTTCTAACCATTTCATGTGTGGAAGGCAGATCACAGTCATCTGAAAAAGCTGCAGCATGTCCAGGAGCCAGCTTAGTATCGTAGAGTTCCTGGATGTCACCTGATTGCAGAAAGGTCAAAAGCATAAGAAGAAACCTGTTTCACTCATACAGAGTGTGTAGGATAACTTCTGTTCTCATGTATGTTACTTAGGAACATTCCAATTCTAGGATTCCCAGGTATTCACGAAGACTGCTAGACAGCTTTCCTGCTAGACAAGAGCTGGTCACGGATAAGAAGGCCAGCAGCCTGAGGTGAGCTCATTCAAAGACTAGTAATCAAAAGCATTCTCCATACTATAAACACTGAAACTACTACTTCTGAAATAAGCAGAATTTATTTACTTATTTGTCTGAGCTCATCAGCTGGGTGGAAAACTTGGGTTAGGATTCATGTCCCACCAAGAAATAGAATTTGAACTAATGGGACATTTAATTGTTGAAGATCAACATGCCTTACCAAGAATTTTCTTCTGATTCTAAATAGCTTCTGCTTTTCAAAACAAAAAGCAAAAGAAAGAGAGAAAGCAACAAAAAAGGAAGAGAAAACAGCTTTTCAAGAGAAAAGCAGGAAAAAAAACAACCAAACAATTCTGGGCTGAGCCCCAAATTCAGCATGTTTCACTCTTACTGCTTTGCATAAAGTAATGACCAACAAGTGATCACAGAGTTAAACCCACAGAACCCCATCCACTTCCACTACAGAGACATCTGATGGAGAGCACAGTCTCACATTAGAGCTAAGACATGGGGAGCAGCTGCCAGAACAGGCTTTCTCCCTCCACCTTGCTCCCAGATGTCTTTCTTCATTCCTTTCTTCTGGGCCCTATGATTGCGTGACCCAAGGGTGAGCAAGACAGCCTGGCTTAAGCCAAGGAAAAAAAATAGAAGAAGAAAATAAAGGGTTGGGTTTTCTTTCTTTTTGTACCGCTAGTCTTCTGCCAGGTCAAGCAGCTGAATCAGCTTATTCTGCAGCTGCACAACTGTACATAGGACACAAGTAATAGGAGCTGCAGGGGACAGGAGATGCAGCAGCCTGCCATGAGCTGTAAGATGAAACTAGGTGCAGCTTTATCCTGTGGCTCCAGAAACGCTATCAGCTGACAGAAGCTGACACCCCTTAGAAAAGGGAAAGCCCTACCACCCCTCTTCCAGCCACACTGCCTTGACTCCTGCCAGGGAAGAAATTCAGGCTGAAAGCAATCACAATTCTGGTGAACGCCTGTGGAGGTGCAAGGAGAGATACAGAAGTGGTGAGCTCAGCCTGCAGTGCTCATGAAATTGGAACATAAATGAAGACTTCAGAACCTTTCAGAGAGTCAAATATTTCTGTTGCCCATTGGTGAAAGAGAGAACAACAAAACCAAAAAGCAGAGATAGCCACTGGAAACACGTATGTTGAAGAATTGTCATATGAAGTCTATTGCAAATTAAAATGAGATGGGCAGGGCAGATTGTTTTTATAAAGTGACCAGTATCAGCCCCTTTAAATGCAGATGTTATGAAATCTGCTACTAAAGAGAAAAAACTGTAAGAAAGTGCAAGAGAAGCTGTGGAGAATAAAAATTCACTTAATGTTCTTAGCATTTGTGGGAATTCAAATACTAGCAGGAAATGCATGTCACATACTTCATAAATATGGCAGCATCTAAGTGAAATCTGTATCTTTCAGCAATTGACCAGATTAAGTTAAAATTAAAGCCATGCATACAACTTTAATCAGAATCAATAATTCAAAAGATATATAGTGGGCCATTATACAGACTTTCCTTTAAAACCAAGCAGATTTGTAGTTTCCCTGAGCACAACACTCCTAGCAGCTGCCTCTGTTTCCACTATATGTCATATTTCCAAATGACTGTAAAAGCTGCAATACCTTTGATTGTAATTCTACTAGAAACTGTCTTTTGGATGACAGCTTACCTTGAACAATGATATCATCATCCAAATATATGACTTTCTCATGCTTCTGGATAAGCAAAGGAAGATAAAATCGAACAAAGTTGAGCTATTAAACAGAAAAAAGGTAAACGCTAAGTGGTAAAGCTGTTTAATGAAGTAGTCTCACATTTCTGTCTCTATTAACAATTAAACTGTTATTTAACTGTGTAATTAAACTAATTAAGCTAAATTAAATTTCTCTCTTCATTGAGGACTAGCCACCAATCATTTGCTTTCTCCTCCCCAGCTTTAGTAGTATCTTGAATCCATTATTATTTACCCTCATTTATTCACTATGGCTCTAACAAAGCAGCCCCAAATAGCTGCTTCTTCCCAGAATCACTTAGATTGGAAGGGGCCTTTTAAGTTTATATTATCTAAGCCTTCTTCTCAAGCAGGGTTCATCTGAGCAGGCTGCCCAGGACCATCCCCAATCAGGTTTTGAATATGTCCAAAGATGGAGACTCAACAGCTTCTCTGGGCAACCTGCTCCAGTGTTTGACCACCCTTACTATTAAAGAAAAAAGAAAGAAAAAGCTTTTTCTTGTGCCAAGAGGAAATGTCATGTGTTTTAATTTGTGCCCATTACCTTTTGTCCCACCCTCAGGTATTTATACACTGATAAGATCCTCAATGAGTCTTCTCTTCCCCAGGCTAAATAGCCTCAGTTCTCTCAGCCTCTCATACAATAGATGCTCCCATCCCCGAGTCATCTTTGGAGCCCTGTTTTGTACTCACCCCAGTAAGTCTGTAACTTTCTTGTACACGGGAACTCAGAAGTGGATACACTGCATGAAAATCTTGCAACATTTCTTGTTTGTTCTGACTGTAACTCTTACTAATTTAACCCAATGACTGTTAGCTCCTACACTGGAAGAGATAGTGAGCAACCATCCCCCATCCGGTCCTCCATGTCACTCAGTTCTGCAGACCTCTATTTTCACACTAGAGGTCACATTTCCAGGCTAAACAGTTTTAACCCACTGATTCCTTGCATGAAGGAAGAAATTCTATAATTAAATGTGTCAAAGGCTCAGAGAAGGGCAGCAAGAATAAACATTCCAAACAGACCTGAAAATTTTCCAGTGGTGCTACATCTTTTCCAGATGAGGGGACAAAGACTGTATATAGTATTTAGGATGAAGGAAAACAATGTATTTGTATTGTGGCATAATAATATTCTCTATTTTAAGCCATATTCCTTTCCTAATAATTTCTAGCATCTGATTTGCCTTTTTCTGCCAGTGAGTAATATTTAGATTAGTAATTAGCTTCTGAATTCCCCATGGACATGAGCAGAATGCAGCTAACTCGGCATCGTGGAAGCACAAAGAACACTATTAGGTCCTCTCTCTAATAAACTGTAAATATATTCTTAAAGATACGACACATTCCAATCACCTAGTTTATGCCACCAAATACTGAGGTCCCAGCAAGACTGCTAAGTTGCAAGGAGCTTGTTATAGTGCACTTTTCCTTCTTGAGTGAGGGCACAATGTTTGGACCTGATGTAGCTTCTCTGACTTACATCCCACCCCCCATGTAATGGAACAGAATTTCTAGTACATTGTAAAGGCTTTAGAAAGCATTAAAAACACTGGAAATTTGTTATGTGGTATTAATTTACTCACAGGCTGCAGTAGCTCTGGACGTGATGCATCTTGTCTGATTTTTCCTTTTAGTACCATAGGGTTGAATTCCACAACCTTAAATTTTATTTCTTTCAGTTTAGAATTTTCAATCCATCTTCTGTGAAAAAAAAGAAGCGGTAAAAGAAATACTGAGTATGTAGCAAGTACTTCCAATATTAAATTTGCAGACTCATAGGAGAACAGAACTTGAAAGTTCACTTGATCTATTCTGTCCAAAGACAGAATCACTTCCGTCAACAGCTATTGCACACATACATAAAAAACCAAAACACCCCCCAAAACATCCTACCCCACTGCCAAAACCAGACTCCACCTGTTGCCCAAACAACTCTTCCACCATCACTAGCATCAAATGCTATTTTTCTAGGCTTTCCTCCTATAAAGACCATTTTTTCTTATCCTATCTATGTCTTTAAAGCAGAGGTTAGTTTTCTCCCTTTCACAGTTTTACAACCGTCAAGATGCCTGTTCCATTAGCTCTCAACCACATCGTCTTTAGACTTATTTTCCCATTGTTGTGTCACCTTTCTTGACACCATTGCTCATTTTCTCCTCTGACTTCTCTTTTAAATCCTTCCTGAAAGCACCTAGAACTAACCACCACACTTCTTCTGATGCATTAATAATGTCTGCACGATCAGAAGTTTCTTCAAGTCTCCTGCGGTCACATATATCAACATGTATATCCACAATGATGCACGCCTTATATAATTCTGTCGTTTTTCAAATGAGTGCTACCCAATTCCTGCTTTACCCCGAGCCAATACAATCAGCTCTTCCCACCTTGTCATTACCTCTACTGAATTTGATCACATTGTACAGTTCATTTTTCCAATTCATCATGATCACTTTGTTTTCAGCTCTTGTTCTCAATATATCTATCTGCTGTCTCTTTTCCAGCTTCATGCCAACTGCAGATTCATAGAGAACATCTTCCACTATTATCTAGGTTACCAATGAACTAAAATGCAAAAACTCCCTACGGAACTCCACTCATTACAGCTTTTCACTTTGACACAAAATGTGGGTACACAGGCTACAGAAGTGGAGTAGCCAGAGGTGAGCACTGGTAAGAAACTGCTTTAATTTTGATTCACACCTTCCTCCTCTTTCAGACAGTATTTTCAAATTTTAACACCCAATGCTTTCATTACAACCATTTTGGTGTCTCTATTTATAACTTTTAATACACCCTCTCAGCTGAAATTAGCTTTAAACATCAAGTTTTTCTACACTTAAGCTTAAGACACAGTGCCAGATGATAGTGCGGTGTCACAAAGTGGGACTGGCACAAGCATGTGTATACTTATATACTCCAGACTTTCTGCAGCTGATCTACAGCAGGCAGAGAGGCAGTAACAGACATGGGCTGGCTATTTCACACCCTTCTACACCAGGCAGTGCCTTGCGGAGAGCAAAATGGTCCCGTTTCCTAAACGGAGAGAGTCCTGGGTATTGCTGCTACTGGGTATAGCACTACTTAGTATAGCAGTAATTAAAGGGAGAAACATTTACCTGAAACATCCTCCAAAGTCTACATGCATCTTAAGGAACACAGCAACCTGGTTCTAACCACAGCATGAAACAAAATAAGGCTGGTATATACCGAATATGTGGGATGGTAGTCTTCAGCCCAACTATGTAGAACAAAACATTGGCCTCTGTGTTGCTGTAGATGCTACTGATTGCTGCTACAGCTGCCCCCATTCTGCCCGCAGCAGCACAGATTACAACTGGGATTTCTTCTTCCATTTCCTCTGGACTCTCCAAATCAACTACAAGAAACAAAACTATGCATTATAACAGAAAATTAAGAATCTTTTTATATCAGATCTGGATACCAGGAACAAGTATGTAGTTCCAGAAGAAGCTGAATCATATCACATTCACCCCATTTCCTTACCACATCCTATACACATCCGCATCTGGCAACACATACAGCATGAGCTTTCACTGTTGGATGCCTCCAAACAGAATATATAACAGAGTTCTTGGCATCTTCTACTCAGCAGAGGCACAGTTCAGCCTGTCATCCATGCAGCTGCTTATTCACATGAAACCTGAAGAAGTTCAAATACCTTTGAGACTTCTGCTTCTCAGTTATATCTAGTATAAGGTGAACAATAGGTTCCAAAATTATCAAAGGAAAGAGGTAAGTCAAAGAGATGGTGCAATTGCATGAGCCCCACTTCTTTGGGAAGCAGGCTAGAAAGAAATAGTGCAAAATTTTATACCAGCAGAAAGTTGATAGTGATAAAAAAGGAAAAAAGGTCTAAACAAAATTGAATCAAAGAATAAACTAGGTTGGAAAAGACCTTTAAGATCATCAAATCCAACCGTTACCCCAGGACTGCCAAGACCACTACTAAACCATGTCACTGAGGGCCCCATCTACATGGTTTTTGAATCAGTTCACATTACTGCTAAGAAAGGCTTTTATCTCTAGCACTGATTAACTTACAGAACTTATATGGATATATTTATACTGGTTAAAACATACCATTAAACTCTTAACAGTTGATATACAACATAAAATATACTGAAAAAAAATATAGCAAGACAGAGTTTGTTTATATTGGGAACAGTGAATAAGCTATTAGTATAAAGATTTACCACCAGACCAACCACATCAACCCTAGTGGGTTTATGTCACTATAAAAATTCCAGCAAATACTTCTGCTGTAAGTCATGTCAAGATCTGATGATCTATCTGAAATGAATAGCTAGGCTACGAGCACTCCCACAGGGACAAGTTGTGATCAAAGTTTATTACCACTCAACAACTGCAATGCTGTTCAGAACAAATAAGGATATACTCCAGCTTCCATCTACATCAGTGGCATCTGGATAAAAATCTGAATCAGAATGACAATTCTTAGTTATCACTATCAGTCTCCTACTATTTTATTCAAGTAATTCAGAAGAAAAAATTCTGCATCCCAGACCATATGCAACAGTGTGAGTAGTTCATCTACTGCAGGGAAAACAGGATTCAGTAAGACAAAAAGCACTGTTCAAATGAGGAAATAAGGAATGTAAAACAAGAGCATAAATGAAACAGAAGTACAAGTCATTTACCTGTTTCATTCTTTAATGCAGATGGCACTTGGTGAACTTTATTATACAGAATGGCGCATACAGTTAAGACAAGAAGTAACAGTAAGATCTGGTTAACTGAAAGAAAAGGGAGAATTTGTTGACCGTCAGTATTATAGCTAATTCCAAGCATCTTTTTAAAACCAAAATCCAGTTTGTAACCAGCACATAACATAACCTGTATTTGCTGTGTTTATCAACTTCTGCTTTCTCATTATTAAAGCAACAACAAAAAAAAAATACGTTATAAACATAATAGTATTTCTCCCCCATTGCAATAATTTCCAATTATCTGATTTCCATGGATAACTTGCTCACTAAAACCATCAAGCTCCTAATATAGATAGGCTATCCATACTAGGAAATTCACACTTTTCTGAGTTTTACCAGAGCTAAACTCTCTTTTCTTGACTAACTTGCTGTTTCTCATCACAGGACTTCAGGAGTTCATTATTTTTACCTAGCCCTTTCCCTCTCTCAGGCTTCCCTGAAAGAGCTTCAAACACAGGAGAATTTTTTTCCAATTTCAACATTCAGATCTTCAGGGTGTATTTGAGGAAAAAAAAACTCTAAAAATCTGGAAAAAAAAAATCCAGCATGCTACTAAAGCCACAAATGTTTCAAAATATTTGAAAACACAAATATTTGATGTGATTAATTAGTAAAATCAAAACAAAGCATGCAACTGCAAAGACCTTGCTGTATACTGTGATCTGCAGTTCCTACCACACTGTCTTGTACAAGTTTAAGTCATTCAACGTAAACTAACAATAAGCACTTACCAGGACAGTTCACTGACTACAACAGGAAGGAATACATTGCTATCATCAGCAGTTACCTTGATAATGGGAGGTTTGTTGTTTTTTTCTTTTGCATCAGACACTTTGTTACTTTAGCACCACTATAAAAAGGATTTAAGGTGTACAAAAAAGCAAAGGGAACAGAGTTTTGAACTACTCCAATCAAAAGGGCCAACTGGCCAGAACTGGGTGTGAGAATAAACTGAAAACGGTAAACATATGTCACTAAACTCGCACCCATTTAAGCCAGCTGAGGAAACAGTCCATTGCTTTTGGAGAAATTTGGGTGCATAACTGCAGGCACGCACTGGTCCAGTTGCAGTCACTGATCCTGCCAGTTGATGAAAGCACCAAATTTCTTGGGGCCACACCTCATTTGCAAGTATGAGCAGTGTTAATGTGCAGAGTTCTGTAAAAAAACACAGCTTCAGAGCTATGGGCACAACCCACATGAAACCAGCAGCTACCTGCACTCTTAGTGGGAAACTGCAGACCCCTGTTGTAATGCAGTAAAGCAAGAAGTAATTTTAAATTAATGGGATTTATGGCTGTAATGATCTGATTTAGTTAACAAGAAAAGTCTTATCTGTATACTGAAAGTTAAGCATAATATAGCAAAACTCGAACTATAAATTTGCATGCAACTGTAACAACAGTTGCATGGGAAAATGCCTTTGACATTTCTGTCCTCTTTTAAAAATAGATATTTCAAATGTTTTTCATCTGTCTTACTTTTCTTTAAAAGAGCCATGTGTCCTGTTGGATGAGAACTGTGATCTGTGGTAAAATAAAAATAAACAATTTTTAAAGGAGAGAGAAAAAAAATCATTAACATCAGATGTGAATACTAGCAGTTATATCAGGGACAAGGGTTTGCACCATCAAATTTTACTACTGACCTGGTAAAACTGAACTCTATCTTTGTAAATAACTCTTCTAAATAACTAACATTCTGGGTTAGAACTATTACTTATGTTAATTTAAGATACAGGCTGAAAAGAACATAATTTTAATAAATTCCATCCGATCACCTACAAAGAAGTATTAAAACACTCCACTGATGCAGTTTGTAAATACATTTACCTCTGATTTAACTTAAACATAGTGACAAATGCTAGTCTGGAGTATGTTTCCAAACATATGGGAATCTTATACTGGAGCAGCATCTTTCATATTCTCATAAAATCACAGAGCAATAGTGAAAATACTTTCTAACAGCAATACACTTCCACTAACAGAAGGGGGGAGGGGCAGAAGAGCTTATGCAATGTGGCTTGTATTTAAGCACATTATTTGTGATGCTGAAGAAAATGAGGTAGCCTTCCCCAAAACTGTACTTCTAAGCTAGGCCCAAGGGTAGCCATGGCTTTCTGCCTGAGATGTCAAGACAGAATCTCAAAAACACAGGGTTAAGAGAAATTACATTCACTGGAATTCTGAACCCAAACCTACTGCTAATGAAAAAAAAAAAAAAGGCAACAAAAAAATACAAAACCAACAAACCAAATAAACAAAAAACTGACCCACCAACAAAAACAAAAACAAACCAAAAAAACACCAGACCAAAAAACCCCCAAACAACTCAACAGTAACAAACAGCACCAGAAGTTGGTGCAGGGCTTGTGGGGAGGGGGAAATACAGCTATGTGACCTAACCTTTATGCAGTGGTAGCTGTATATGCATCCAGATATGGACACATTACAGCATACATAAGGATATATAGCGGTTTCTATACATAAAAATTATTCCAACTCCGTGAGAAAGCAGACGAACAGCAAGAATTCTTGAAACCTGAGTCATGAAACTGACTGCTTCTCATTGGTTAATGCTCAAGATCAGGCAGCATCCTAAATTAGTCTCTACTTTGAATAAAAAGTTAAATGACAATAAAAATACATTAAAAAGCTAAGATGTGCCTTTGTTTCCAAACTACTTATATTTGCATGTATTTAGGTCCCAACAGATAACTAAATCATACTGAGAGGAGTATTTCTAAAGTTCTTTCGAATCTGCAGTACTTATCTACATTCCAGCAACCCATTCTTTTCATGTGGCATTAATTTACACAGACAGGAAATCAAGCTTATCGGTTAAAAAAACCCCAAACCCCACTGCTGAGAAAGCCCTTCTCTCATGCATTACACATAAGCATTGTCTTCTTATCCATTTTATGTTTACTCATTTAGGCAAGCTGAGAGACAGCAGAACCCCCTATACTCTTGAAGGAACTTTCTAACCCCACTTTAGCAAATCACAATCTTCCACTGATTTCCATAGAGCTGAGTACTATCTTTTAATTAACACTTGCAATGATAGTCACAAACAGTACTGATGATCATGGCAAGATGAAAGTTGGATAGCCACAGCTTCATGATACCTTCAGAAATTACTAAATCAATATAAATTGAACCATGTTTTAAACTTTAAGAACCAAACTCAGACAGACTCTCATACAAGTTTGAGTTCTAAAACTACAGCATTCCTGAGTCTCAGAAACTCAGATTGATTACCCACTCATTTTTAAGGAAAGAAAGGAATATTTGTTCCCCTACAAATACTTACTCATTTTTCCCTGACTGTAGACATTAGTTCCTGGAACCTGGCAGCCCCTAACTCAGTTGCCAAGTCCTGTAACAAAATGAGGGGCTGCAGAAGGGAAAGCTCAGAAACAGTGACATTACTGGTTAGATATTTCCTGCTTAATTAGTCTTTTTACCTCTTCAAAGCAGCACCGTATTCGGGACTCCTCTCTCCTGAAGAGCTGTAGAGCTATTTACTGGGATCCTAAACAGCCCACAGATGTAAGCACTCTTGCCAAAGCTTTCTTGACCATCAACCTCCTTTGAAGTCCCCCGCACAAGGGCCTTACAGGGCACAGTAACAGTTTTAAGATTCAATTCCTTTTCCAGACTCTTCAAAGTTTACTTTGGAGTTGTGCTGGTTCTCTCTCTCTGCTGCTGAGGAATAGCACAGGATCCAGACGCTGCACTGGAGGAATGAGAGCCCATAAACCACTTCCAGATGTTTAGAATGATGATGCAGCCCCAAATCTAGCAAACTTGCCTCAGAGCTTCAGCTAGCAGATTGCAAACAAATCCCTTAAGACAAAATGTCTTAAGGGGTGGGGGAAAGAGAAGGAAACAAAACCTTCCAGAAGTTACTTCAACAGCTTAAGTTGCAGGTTAGGCTTCTCGTCATTATTTTATGGTCAATGTGAACAGATCACTAGTGTGCAAGAGCCAAACAACAGCATGCCAAAGTTTTTACAGTGTCTGTTTGCAGAGCCAAAAGCCAGTGAAAACTTGGAAAATTCAACTCTGCACATGCATTTTTACTCGAACCATATAATTTCCAAATCCATGAGCAGTGAGGGGAACCCGAATCCACAGATTTGGTTTAGATTCAGAGGGATCTTAGATAAAGGCGACCAACACATGTTGATACTTTGCCTCCTAAGCTCTCCTGAATGCTATTGTGGTTTTATTTCTACACCACTTATTTCATTCAGATTTTCTCCCTCTCTTCTAGGAGCCCCCCTTCTATACAATAATGCAGTTCTTGAAATGAATACAGGAAGGAGTAATAGTCATCTTTAATTCTAAACTATTTTTAGCATGAGGCAGTGCAAAACTTAAAAAGCATTCAGCCAAAGTTTTAAAAATCTGAAAGTATTTTAAATGAAATTTGGTGTTCAATTTGCAGGAACTGAAAAAGTGGGTTTTCAGTTGCATGTCTCAAACATGCCAAACTGCATTACTTGTGTCTGATTTCATACAGAAATCCAGGTTCTGCAAAACTGCCTTAAGGAAAATTAAATGAAGAGCTATACATACAGTTATGAGCTTCATGCAGCTAGGCACAATGATTCATAATTTGTTTGTACTATGTTATTTTGTTTAAACTCTATTAAGCTTGTATTCACCAAAAATCCACCCTTTTTTTTTTTATTTCTCTTCCATTTTTTTTTTTCTCTCCCATCCGTGTCGCTCTGCATCTGAACAGACCCAAGAAGCACACGAGTGTGATCAGCCTGCAGCATTGGGACCACCTAGCAGCAATGCTTACATTATTGGCAACTCAGTAGCACCTTTAGATCTCCTTCAGCCTCAGCCGTTTTTATCCTCATTTAACAACCCCTTCACACAGGAAAGAGAGCAGCTTCCATCCTGCAGAATGAGATCTTCAGGTTTACTCAGATTACCCGCCGTTAACTGTAGAACTGAAACCTTCGTTTCTATTCTCAGCCCTCAGCGCTTAAACAGCAACTCATTTCTCTCTCATGCGCGTACCTCGCTGGCAGCACACCTCGCCTACCACTAGCAAGTTAAAACAGACAAAAAACACTACACGTTTCTGAGGGTTTGAAGACACAGCTGCGTGTCCTAAGCTAAACAGCCGTGATGACCGAGCATCTCAGCACTTCAGAGGCGGGCGGGTGCCCCGCCTCTGCCAGGTGCCCTTCACAGGACTCCAAGGGAGCAAGGCCGAGTCTCCTGAGGGGCGGAGAGAGCGCTGTGGCAGAGGCGGCCGGCACAGCCCGAGGGGGGAGCCCAGGGCGGCCTCCGAGTCCCCACCTTGGCCTGGAACACTCTCAGCAAGTCCTCCGCTGCGGCCCCGCCACCGAGGGGGCACAGGCCAGCACCCAGCAGGCACCCACTGCCTGCAAGAGATCCACCATAAAAACTCCGCCTTAGAGACGAAGACAACCGACTAACGGCACCCGCCCCGCCACAGCCTTCACGTGACCCGCGGCGGCACCCCCGCCGCTCCCCCTTCCCACCCCCTCTCTCCCCCGGCAGCGCAGTGCATTGTGGGAGTGGCAGTAAGATGGCGGCTGCCGCCGCTGGGCTGAGCTGGAGGCGGGTGTCTTCCTTCACGGGGCCGGTGCCACGCTCCCGCCATGGGCACCGCGCGGTCGCCATCCGCGAGCTGGTCATTATCTTCGGGGGCGGCAACGAGGGCATCGCCGATGAGCTGCACGTCTACAACACGGGTGCGCGGGGCGGGGCGGCGGGCATGGAGAGCGCCGGGCGGAGCCGGGGCTCTGAGGCGGCAGGGGAGCGCTAGCGGCGGGGCTGTCATGTTCTCAGCCGCCGCCGCTGGCACCGGCCTCCTCACAGTGGGGCGATCTCTCTCCGAGCTTCTTGCCGTCCTCCGAGGCTACCGTGGACGGTTGAGCTGCTGATGCTGAGGGGACGGCGGGCGGGATGCTGAAGAGCTGCCTGGAGCTGAAATGGGAGGGGGAAACAGGGAAATAACGCCTGGGTGAGGGTTCTCCCGGGTTTGTGCAGCGCCTTGGTTGATGCTGCCCCTTTCTTGGAGAACGGGAACCAGGAAAATTGTTCTGTGTGCCTTGCGTCTATTCTGCTTTCCTAGTCCCTCGTCCCGGGATGCAGAGCCTCCCCCGGGAGGTCTCGGCTAAATGACTGCAGGCTGGATTAGTTCCCCATGGGTGTCCAGAGCCCCCTTCTTCTTCCCTCTGGTGGCAGTTTACGAGAGCTGAGCACGCTGAAACAAATCTGGGTTAGAAAAGCGAACATGTTGGCACTGGGAGCCTTTCCAAACAGGAAGCTGCCCAAGACCGATTTTATTCGTGAAAGATTAGATGGCTAAGTACTTACTGTACGGGATACTGGATGAAGCTGGAAAACTTCTGTGTGATTTCAGAGCTTGGGCAGAGTTGAGATAGTTAAATGACTGATCTGGGCTTCTCAGTCAGTCGCTGTTAGCTGCTTTTGCAGTGTACCAAAAGCATGAAAGTGAGACCATGTTAACTAGCCTTTTAATTTGCCAGCTTATAAGAACATTAAAAAAATATTCTTATCGTGCTATGTCCCTTCTTCCCCCAGTCTCTCCACCCCCCCAAAAAAAGGGATGGTATTTTTGCTGAGTGTTTTTGAGGTAAAATATGGCAGCACAAACATGTTTTGGAGGTAGTTTATTAGTGGGAAATGCTTACTGGTAGGGTTCTTCCAAGCAGGTATTTCCATGTAGCTTAAAGATCTGCTGTACTCAGTTACATTTTTTGGGGAGAAAAGAAAAATCTCTTAGTCTTTTTTGTTTTGATGAGTAATCTAAAGGAAGCTTTTAGGTAGGACAGTTATACTGTCTAACGGAACAGAGGTTCTGATGGGTGCCTTCTGCGTGAATCTTAACATCACTTTATTTTTCTGCCCAGGAAAAATAAGAAGGTGTTTCCTATTTGCAGCAGTGACAAAAAGCATCACAACGTGGTTGTTCCAATTCCCAGACGAGTGTTTGGCCCCAGCTGACCTTTTGTTTTAATCTGGTGGCTAAGATGCAGGGTTATGACCTGAGCTGCTTGAATTTGGGATGTCATCATTGCTTTTGCTAAAAGCATGATGATTTCTGAGGAGCTGGCACCCAGTGAAGGCATCTTAATCCCTTGAAGCAATGTTCACTCGTAGCTTCTAATTTCATACTTTTCCTCTTTGTGCTCATGCAAAAAGCTTAGGAAAAAGGAGGCAGTCTCCTGTAATTCTTTAATTCCAGAACAGTTTAAACACCAACATGCTGGATCGGGCAGTCTCTGTTGCCCTTTCTTGCCTCTTTGCCTCTCCTCTCCCATGTATCAGCGCAGTGCTCTGTAGGTATTAACACGGGTCCCAGAACACTGTAATTAGCTTTTCAATAGCACTGTTAAGTCCAGGCACATTGCTATGCCCCTGCAGCTCTAATAATTCTGTTTCTAGGGCTTGCTCCCTCTGAGTTAGTGTAGTTATCTCTCTTGTGTGGAACTGCACTCTACGGTCCTCATTAGCCTTTTTTTTGTTTTTTTTTTTTTTTTGGCCAGTCTGTTAAAATTGCTGAGTGACCCTTGGTAACTGACTTATTACAGAGGCCTCATGTGCTCATTTACCGATTGAGTAACATAGGTTTGATAGAGGTATTTGCTTTTCTTTTAATAGAATTACTTTTTTTTATTAAAAGTTAGTGTTAAACAGCCCATTCACAGTTATATACAGGTAAAAGGTAATTCTTTAGAAAGCAGAGGTGTTTAAAAATACTTTTTTTTTCCCCCCCTCTCTATTATAGTTACAAATCAGTGGTTCCTTCCTGCTGTAAGGGGAGATATTCCTCCAGGCTGTGCAGCACATGGATTTGTTTGTGATGGCACCAGAATACTAGTTTTTGGAGGAATGGTTGAATATGGAAGATACAGTAATGATTTATATGAATTGCAGGTATGAAATGTGTGAAGATGTTTCAGTTCTGAGGACTACTTTATTTATATTTTATGAGCAAACACATTTTATATTGCCAGGTGCAGAGGAGAGTTAGATGAGCTTTGCTGTGCTCCAGGAAGAATAAACTCTTTGAATAGATTCTGAAGATGGAGAAAATATAAATAACTTTGAAAAAGAGACTTCCATCTAGTCTGAATCAAGTATAAAATATTTGATGTTTTATAAAGACTAGCTTCTCTTTGTCCCTTTTAATATCTATATCCTAAGAAAAGCCCAGCATTCCCTTAAAAATAATTCAGAAAGTATACAAGTCTTAATATTATCTGTATTCTGTTGACTATGAACAACTATAAATGAAGGTATTTCTGAATATGTTTTTCTTGTCTTTAAGGCAAGTCGATGGCTCTGGAAAAAAGTAAAACCTCAAGCTCCTTCCACTGGATCACCACCTTGTCCTCGACTTGGCCACAGCTTTTCTTTATATGGTAACAAGTGCTATTTATTTGGTGGCCTGGCAAATGAAAGTGAGGATTCAAATAATAATGTTCCCAGGTATGCTGCTTTGGTTTGAATTCAATGTCTTTAAAAAAAATAAATTACTAGATAGACAACTTCAGAGAGGAGCGTTCTAGGGAGCCTGTCCTACATATCAAGTACTCACATTTGGATTATATGTGCAATGGAGGGGTTACATGCTAAGAAGCTTACATATTTCTTCTGCTAATCCCACAACACTGACTGACAGCCCTGACACTTTTGGAGGGAAACCTGAGTAGACTTTGGTCTTTTTCTTAGTATTTTTGGTGATGTTTTTAAGAATGGCTTGTTTGTTAGAATTACTTAAATCAGCAGTCTTGCAAATCACCAGGGAATTCACCATAAAAGTTTCCTCTATAATGCTGTAGAAAACAGTCATGAATTCATCTGGAATTTTTTCAAAGTAAAAGCTGAAGTTTCCTTTACTTGGCAAATAGCACTATAATAACAGTACACCCTCAGCAAGTTTGCCAACAACACCAAGCTGCGTGGTGTGGTTGACATGCTGGAGGAAAGGGATGCTGTCCAGAGGGACCTGGACACTCTTGAGAGGTGAGCCTGTGCAAATCCCCTGAAGTTCAACAAGGCCAAATGCAAAGTCCTGCATGTGGGTCGGGGCAGTCCCAAACACATGTGGGTCGACATGGAGGCTGGATTGAGAGCAGCCCTGAGGAGAAGAACTTAGGATGTAGTTCAATGAGAAACTGAACATGAGATGGCTTCAGTGTGTGCTCTCAGCCCAGAAACCAACCATATCCTGGGCTGCATCAAAAGGAACTTGGCCAGCAAGTTGAGGGAGGTGATTCTGC